GAAAGCTACGCAGTGGGAAGAAACTCATTCTTTGCATGTGCTTGAGTGCAAGGCTCGTCTGGTCGTGGATCTGAGCCTGGGTGGTGCAGGGAGACAGAACTCTACACACATCGTACATCCCCATCTAGCAATGATCAGCGTTTCGATCGGGCGGGGATTCGAAGTTGCAGCTGAAGTGGGTGATTGAATTGGAAGGGTAGGAGTCCAAAAATCTTTTAAGGAATTATGAAAAAAATAGTAGCTCTTTCAATGATCTTGACTGAGTATCGTGAAGTTATAAATTTAAAAATAACGTCTTATAAGATCAAACAATCCTTGACTAAAATTTTCATAGATCAATGTCAAAATAAATAAAATCAAGTTTAAAATGGCCAAAAATTGAATCTAGAGTATATAAACATGAAATAATAGTTTGTTTAGATTTTGATACTAAAGGTTAAGAGAAATCATGAGCTTTTTTTGAGTATCATCATCTTTGAAATCATATAGAATCAGAAGGCTTAGGAAATTTGGCACAATGAATATACATCTTGTTGGAAAGATGAAAATCATCTATACAATATGAGGAAAAATTTCTCAACATCTTTCTAAATTTAAATTTGATTTTCAATAGATTGAAAAAAAAAATCAAAATATGTTTTGCAAATGTACCAATCTCTTGGCTCTAGTTATAAAATTTACCAAAAAATTCATAACATTGAATTGGAAAAACCTTGTGCAATAAGTAAAACAATAATCATCTAAATCCATATACAATTAAGAGATATAATTAGATTTCTTAGATTTATGAATTAAAGAAATTGGTCCTATTTAAGAAGTGGGATTCTATTGTAGTTTTGCCAGTACAAAAACATCACCATAAGCAGCATGATTGCATGACTTTTTTTGAATTTCATATTCATTCATTTATCCATGGATAGAAATTTTCAATATTAATTGGATTTTCAATTTTTCACATAGTTGATTTCCAATTTTTTCCTCTAAATACTAAATTTTGTCCATTTACTATCATGTATATTTTATCATTCATTAAATATTACATAATTGAAATCTATAAACATATAATTATAAAAAATTCATATATGTAAATAAAAATAAATAGCTAACCAAATTTCAAATTTGGATTTTTTAAGTAATCTCAACATTACAGTATTGTTATTTTACTTTAATGGCTTACAATGTGATTATTCAAAAGTTTTGAATTTCATACTCTTTGAACGATCACTCTGAGGTGGAAATCAAACCAACATATCAATATAATACATATTTTTATCAATAATGAAAATAAAATCAAATAAAATGAAAAAATTACATAAAATCTTGCAAATTTCCAAAAGGTTTTAAACAAAATAAAATATCTGATTTTTTCTGATATTTTTATTTGAGTTTACCTAAAAAAAATACCTATCATAAATCTGATTTTCGAAGATTTAGACAAGACATAAAGCAAGAACTCGAAAATTGTATGTCTAACCAGCTACTCATGATTAGCTTACATTACTTAACAAAGAGATAAGATTTTTTTTCAAAAAGTGAAGAAACAGTACCTCTTCCTAACTACTCTCCTCCCTCCCGTCATCGCCCCCAAGTTTACAGAAATCAGAAAGGTATCCTGGTAAGGCTCACCACAATACACAGGAAATGTATTCAACTTAATTGATAATTGATGCCTTACCAGGTAAGGTATAAGGAACAAGTCATTTCATTGCACATGATAAACTGACTAGTCCTCACGTCACAGCTCTCACACCACCAAAGTGACCCAAATGTGATATCACCAATCTTTCCTTAGGGCCAAACCACACGACCGGCAGCGGCAGCGAATCCTAGCTTGTTATTGGCACCCGATATTCCCCCTTTACCACTCGGGAGGGAACGGAAATTTGATATATCCTAGGTGGCAAAGAAATCTACTTCTCCAAAGTACCAGGCATTTCCGCCTGGAAATCCGGTTGCAATTAGTAGAGATATTTTTCCCTTTTCACTCCAAAGGCACTAGCTGTAGTGTGGTAGAGGTTATGGAATTCTCTCCAGCTGGCCAACTTAGGCCTACGAAAACCTGGTTTTCTTATAGCCAGCAGGTTGGTGCCGGCTGCCGGTAGTGTGATAAGACCCTTAGTAAAACCTAAGTTCCATGCAGAAGTGCTGGCCGCTGTCCTCCGTTTGTCGAGCTGAGTTGGATCTCGAGAGACAAAACGAATAAAGTAGACATGATTGAAAGTAAGACGAAGGTTGTGAAGGGAATCAAACTATTGTGCTGGACCTTGGAACTGTGGCTGATTGACTTAGAACCTTGTAGTGTCACGTAAACCTGTTAGAGGTCTGCCCGACGGCCCAACTCAATCAGCCTCTTCCCAGTTTTCATCACTTACCACTTGTTCCGCTTTAAGACATATAAGTCAAACATGGTCAAACGTACACATACAAAGTTACCACCAGATCGCTGTTTAGAAGTTCCTGTTGTTGGCTTATTCGACAGTACCAAACTAGTTTACTGCAGCTCCTGTCCACAAGACAAGACCGTCTTCAGTGAGGTTCGCTTGAAGCGTAGGCCCAGAAACCAAAAGAAAGAAAGAAAGAAAGAAAGAGAGAGAAGGAAGAGGAAATTGGGTTTATTGATACTCTTGATGACAATATTCTCGTGTCCTGCTCCTTGGTTCATGAAGTCTACAGATACGCGAATCGGGTTTCGTTACATGCCAACACAGTCCATTATGGATGCTAGATGGACCGTAATGTGATCCGTACATCTGAGCTGGATGTCAGCAATCAATTTGAGATTTCTCTGCATCGAGAATATTCTTTACTTATATTTGTAGTGACGGTCTAATTTCTCCGCAAGTTTACAACTCCATCATAGTTTCTGGCTCCGAACATTGTGCCAGAAGACGCACTTGCAACAATAACCCGTCTTTGCGTTCAAATGTACCATTCAGTGGGAAATCTCAGTATTCGGAATGTTTAAGCTACGTCAACCCCCATTCGAACTAACATTAGGAGATCAAATCAGAATATCAAGTCGTTCGTGACCTATTGTAAATTCATGCGTGAAACCTGGTATATAGAGTGCTTCCGTCCCATAGCCAGCCTAGGTACAACATCAACCGGCGGAGTGTGAGAAGTTACCTGCTAGATCAAGGTTCAAGTCCAGGATCTTCAAAGACAGTTGCCTGACACTGAGAAGTGCAGAAACCTTTTCTGCAAGACAGAAATAGACGCCAGAAAACACGAGAACAAGTTGGACTTATTTCGTGGTTTGCAGCCACAAAGTAAATCGATCACCTCCGGAACCTATACCGAATCATCAAAGTCAAGACGATCCATGAGTACCTTACGGATATCGAATTGGACCTGATCATGACCACTTTGAACCACAATCGACCTTTGGATGCTGGTAGTCTGTAACCTTCTCCTGCATGCAAGCAGTAGATTTCCAGATAAAATGTGAGTTCTTCGATTCTTACGATGCACGATCCACGAGAAATATGTTACCGATAACAACCAGAAAGTGAAGAATCGGGTTCTCCTGAAACGTGGCAGTATCTCAAACTCGGCTCACAGACAGTCACTGGGGTACGATTCTTGAATACTAAATTAGTAGTTACTACAAATGAGCAGAGCAATCTGAGAAATTTCTCATCCTCGAGAACCACAGCAGTCTCACTTCTAGACCAGCATGTCGCCATATTACGGATACTTTTCCATAACGGGCCGAATACTAATCCAGATACTCCCTCGTCAGGTATCACAGTAACCGGGTGCTACGCGTCATTAAGTTCTCCTCTGAATGAATGACGTCAACGAAGGTTGCGTGATAGCCTGACAGCATATGTGCTCGCAAATCACATTCCGCTTGTACACGGAATCAAAATTGGCAGCTGCAATAGAAGGGACGAGCAGAACTATGCATTTCGATCTGTAACAGCATAATACTTTCATGGGGCAGCTGTTAAGGACACCTGCAATATTCCAAAAGATGTTGTCATTCATGCACAAACTCTTATGTATTATGAACGTTTATTTATCCCAAGTGATGGCTGTAAAAGCTTATTTTGATCCTTTCACCGTCTAACATACCGTCGTGAAGTTTCGGGAACTAACCACTGAGAAGCACTAAGCCCTATTTCTTCTTTTCAAGACTTGATCGGGTAGACATTAATTTAATTTCTTCTTATGTCATGTTTTGAGTTGCGTCCCTCTGCACAACTAATCTAATGATGTAACGTAAAAACAGTAGGATTTGAGTGTATTCTTTTGTTGTTTCTCGGAGGCAAAGCTTGGATGGAAGCATTTGCTATCAACGATATGAATTGCCAAGGCAGAAGGAGTGTGTGTATACATGGCTCGTGTATGAGAAGGTGGGTATCGCTTCGCACAGGATGTGGAAAGTCAGTAGTCAGCTGAAACAGACACCAACTGAATTTTGACCAACATGGGTCTACGAGGAAAACAATTCTATATGTCTGGACGGAATAGCATTCAACAGATTACCAACTTGCAGCTGGAGGAGTATACTTTCGTGAGTGACGTTGCCAGGAGGGGGAATTTCTTCGACGAAGTAATCCCTCCCCCAGGGAGTGAACACGAAGACATCGTCTTTGGTTATGTGAAGAAAACTTTGAGCCGAGTCCTAAGCGATTCCCGGTATTATCCAGCAGGCAAGGACTGGGCATAGACGACAATGAATCACGCTCGCTTCACTGCGCTTCGGAACGTGCATATATGCATTGACTGTCTCGGTAGAGTCAGAAGAAAAAGGGGGAAGTGTGCCCCAGGGCTCAAGTGAACGGAGAGAGCTAGTAGTAGCCCGGATGCTTGCACTCCGAGACATCTCTGTCCAAACCCAACAAAAAAAGATACGTAGATAACGTTGCTGATTCTCGGAGTATGATCGATCTGTGTTCGAAATCTCAAGACGTCGAGCTTTCTGCATACGGCTCTCCGTTCACTAACATCCACCGGCCACCGTTTCGGATACAAAATCGAGTTTCCGCCAGGGCATGTGTGGTCCTTGCTGGTCAAACATGAGAGGGGATCAGAATGGTGGACGCACAATGAAGACGAACCGCAGAAGATATCTCGTGGGTCTGCTTGCGCTCTCGGTACTCGCGTTGCTGGCATTGCAAAAGTACGACAACCGACGCTGTGCGGAGAAGAGACCTGCGACAGGCTCGAGTGCCCGGCTGCAATTGCAATCCAATGGGTCGGACTGTCAGAGAGCTTGTGGCAACGTCTCGATCCCCTACCCCTTTGGACTTTCACCACAATGCGCTTTCAGCTCGTACTTTGTGCTGGACTGCAGGACCGACCTGGGACCAAATCTCAAGTCGAATTTACCAGGTCCGTGGCCGGTTCTAACTCACATAGCGGCCACATCCACTCTCGGACAACGTTTCAGCAATGGCACCATAACAAATGGACTTTTCGAGGTGAATTTTCTGCCAGTAACGCAAATACAATCTAACTTCATCCTCATAGATACGACGAATATCAAAGCGATGGGCTGCGAGGAGTCGGTCACTGCCAGCCTTACTCTGGACACGCAAAGCCCCTACATGATTTCTGAGCGGAACGTCTTCATCGTCGTATCTTGCCGTGCTCAAGGATCGGCTGAGGGTGATGGTACTCCTTGGAGTGAAGGTTTCAGCACGACGTGCGGTCCAGTTTCGTGTGTCAACCAGTTCGTGATGCCGTACTGTGGCTTCTATGACTGCTGCATTCAGACCATTGGATTGACCAAGACAGTATCGATGACAGGGCTAGGAATTACGTTCGCGCAGTTTACAAATTGTGGCTACTCCACCGTTTTGTATCCAGATTCGTTTGTTGCAAGAGGGGAAGGAGTTGGTGGCGGATACTACGGAGTCCATGTGTATTACTTCCTCCAGAGGGGGCCGGATAATCAAAACTGCTCTGAAGCTGCAAAGGATTCTGAGAAGTTTGAATGCTCCATGTCTGCAAATTGCAGCAACTCTTTCTCCGGCTACTATTGTCATTGCATTCTGGAGTGCTACACGGGAGATGGTTATAAAAATGGCACTGGCTGTAAAGGCAAGTTGAGGCTGATAAATTTCTCGTGTCTCGAGGATTGCGATTTGTGCCCATCTTGTTCCAGATCCTTTGCTACAGTTAAAGTCTATGACTCAGATGAGAGCTACTAGTTCGATTCCCGAGACCGGAACTACCACTTTTATCGCTTCACTAGATGCATGGCATGCCTCAAGCCTCTTCATCTTCCTCTGTACACTCAATTCTCGGTCGGTTGCGGAGATCTTGGTACTGCACAGCGAAGAATGCCGCACTGTCTCTTGAATCTTAAAGCTTTCAAATGTATCGGATCCTTTTGACTTGATAAGGTCGGAGACTCGACTGTAAGGTTGGGAATCCCTTGTCTAACATGACTTGTGCTCATGCCAGATATCAACGAGTGTTTAGGGTCGAACAATTGCTCCAGTATTGCTACATGCGTCAACACCAATGGGAGCTATTGGTGTAAATGCCCTGACTTAATGGAAGGCAATGGTCTAGATCCCCAGCTGGACTTTCGTGGCAACAATTGCACTTGTAAGTTGCCCTTGACCTGATATTCCATATTCCTTCCATATTCCTTAGTGTCGTATTCCATATTCCAGCTGAAATTGAGTAGAGGATGTCACTTGAAGCCCGCCAGTCGACTGTCAGAGATTCATCCCTGACAATCGTCAATCCCAATTGACGGACCACAGTTTGATTCAAGAGAGGTTTGTGAATTGACACGAGCAGGGATCGACCAGTGTAAAAATAAGACCAAAGTCTGCTCCCCAGATGCTGAGTGTGCTTTCGACATCAGCTCTGGCGATTTAAATTGCACTTGCCAAGGTGGAACTATCGGAGACGGGCGCGTAAACGGAACTGGTTGCACACTCAAGGGACTTCCAATTTGCCCGTCATAATCGGTGCGTACTTTTCATGTATTTGTTCATTTTTCGTCCGCAAATCACTGCTTCCATCCAATTGCCGAAATTCCAGTTTCGCCATGTCCAGTTTATAAATTGATGTGAAGCGCGGAAAGTATGATTGAGGTTCAAGACAAGTGAGGTGCAAGATTTCTGACCTAGTATCATCGCCAACTGTCGATGCGTTGTCGCAATTCGCATAACAGGTGTGAGTGTCGGTAGTGTGGTAGCGTTCATCATCATCAACAGCATCCTATTGTGGTATTTCTTTCGGAGGAGGCGGCTTGCGTTCGATCCAGCAATTTTCTCACAGCACGAGCTGCTGAATGAGATCGAGAACAAAGAGGGTGCCAAATACTGCAAACTTTTCACCTTCAGCGAGCTTCGAGAGGCAACGAAAGACTTCTCGGTCGAGCTCGGAGCTGGAGGATTCGGCACCGTATTCGAAGGAACCCTGCGGGACGGAACCAAGGTAGCCATCAAGAAGGCCAAACACGGAATGGGCGAGACACGAAACGAGGCGAAACAGTTCGTCAATGAAATTGTCATTCTGTCGCAATTGAATCACCGGAATCTCGTGAACTTGCTGGGATGCTGCTTGGAGACACGGGTACCCGTCCTGGTATACGAATTCGTCTCTAATGGCAATCTGCACGAACAGATCCAAATGAAACGCCAAACGGAAGCTCAGAGGTCCTCTGAGGCATTGGTTGACGAAAATAGCTACTTCTGTCATCCACCCCTAAATTGGACTTTACGTTTGAAGATTGCAATTGAGGCAGCGGAGGCATTAGCATATCTCCACTGGGGAACATCTCCACCTGTTTACCATCGAGATGTCAAGTGCGCCAATATTCTTCTGGATGACACGTACAACGTAAAAGTCGCTGATTTTGGTTTGTCAAAACTCGTCCCCCTCGAGGACACAGATGCATATGCGGTCCCAACTGCAATACAAGGTACGAGCTACTGTGACCGCTGTTATGAGTCTCTCGATCTACAATTTTCCTTACTAAATGTACTCAGTTTATAACGGATGAACAGATGTGTCTGGATTGTATAAAATGCCAGTCCAACTGGATGTATCGCTGGCTTGGCTGAAAACACGTTGAGCACTTATTCCACCAACGATGTTCCAGGATGATGTTCGTTCCTTGAAGTTGTTTTGCTCGTTGCTTCTGCAGGTACTCCTGGCTATATGGTAAGTCAACTTCGTTCATATTCAGGTAGTATATGTATCTTTCCAGATGAATGTATTAATCATGCTCAGTCGCTTTAAAGCATAGGAATAAGTTTGTTGAAATCTGTGATTCCGCGGCTGATTATCTATCGAGACAATATTTTTGGCTAAGTTTCCCAGTGAAGTTTTCCAATCCCAGACCACATTCTACTTCCTACCAAGATTTCTTCTTCCTCATTTCTGAGTTTCCTGTTTTCCGTGATCTCGGACAATTCGGAAACATTCACCATATACTAAAGTTCATGCCTTGATTCCTACAGGACCCAGGGCTTTTAGACCAGTACGAGGTCAGCTCCAACCCAAGCTGAAGATCTCGTTGTTGCCTCAGTTCGAAAAGTCGTTGCATACTGAACATAAGAGCTCAGCCATTCGATTCGTTGACGAGTTTACAATTCTGGAAGTATGACTTCCCTTGGATTATGTCACCGGAACTCATGTCTTATATTGGCTTCTATGTGCCCTGCAGTTAACGGACAAATCAGATGTATACAGTTACGGTGTACTGCTACTCGTTATTCTCACTGGGCAGAGACCAGTGGATCTTAAGAGACAGCCTAAGGATCAAAATTTGTCAACAGATGCGACCGTTTGATGACTCAGGTTCGTAGATTTCTTAGACCTATTGTCCCTCGCCAAGGGCTTACCGCTGGCTCTTCGACGTGCTCGATTGCATTTTTGGTTAGCAGCAGATTCAGACGATAGATGAGCCTAATGTGTTTGCACAAAGTAGCTAGGCTGCGTTGAAGTGTGGTATATATATCTAGGTACGTATATGTTTTACTAGCTCCTCTCGAACTGATTCGACTTAATACTGAAATCTTCAACTGAATTTCGAAGTCACCGACGGAAATTCTCACCTGCGTAAGACGAGATGTCTGCACTCAACTAAGTTTCTCAAGCATCTCACTCTCTGTTGGACTTAGAATATCTTTTTACTAATATGATGTAACTTTACTTTTCCTGGTTGAGCACAGGGTCTTTTCGCAGATATCATTGATCCAGAGTTGTCAGAGGCTGTTGAGAACCCAGACACCCTGGAAGCCATCGATGCAGTTGCCAAGGTATCAATCTCTCTCCTGAAAAACACTCCTGAACATACGTCCTCCTGTGATATCCAGTGGAGTGTTGTCGTTAGTTTCCTATTATTACCAATCAAAGGCTTCCCAGTGTTTCAGGTGTCACTAACATAGCTCGTATTGCAGCTTGCATTGAAGTGTGTAAGCAGAGATGGCCAGGATAGGCCAAGCATGAAAGAAGTGGCTTCGGAACTACACACTATTCGAGAAAAGACAAAGAGAAGGACCTCAGTTCCAAAAATGGTTAAGAGCCTGACGAAGAAGGTTACCTTTTCAAAAGAGTACTCTTTGGTTCCAGTTGATGATGGACAATTGAACAACTCCTACTGCATATCTAGCTCAAGCTCCACCCTAGGCCTGCCATGGTCGGAAACAGAAAGTTCGCAGCTGTCTTCAAGTGGACTCAGTGAAGTCGAACTTTCGAAGCAAGAAAGGAAATAGCCCCTTGGAAATCCTTGAGTATGGGATCATTTTGTTGTATCATTAGCGACTTGAAAAGAAAGAGAGTATGTGATAATCCGACGTATTAAGAATCATTCGATCTCGGTGATTGTCTGTTGCTGGATCCTTTTTCGGGCCTGCCGCTCCAGTTTTTTTGGGCGTCTTGATTTGGTATCATCCTTTGCTTGAGTAGAGAAAGAAACATTCTCCAGTCTTCCAAAAGTTCGGCATGGGCTGGTAAGCACCTTTGGTTGCAGATTAGAGAGTCTGAACTGTAAATTCTTATATTTTCCTCATCAGATTATAGTGTAAATACAAGTGATCATGTAAACTACACTTGGGCTCCTGCGTAGATCCATGTACTACCAAAACGAGGACCAACTAAGATCAGCGATCGGGAGGAGTAGATTAGTTTATTAGGAAAGTGAGATGATAGATTGTCTCAATGAAAGAGATCTAATTATTTGGATCTTAGAGTAAGAATGAGATATTTGGAATTTACAATAATATCTAAATATTTAGATGATCAAAACAAAGAACCTAGTCTCAGTTACGTGAATCATATTTTTCTATTCTCTTTCTCGATTGCATGAATTTCTCAGTGAAATCTTGTTCCGAAGAACAATAGATATCAGAGAGATTGGAATTGAATCGATCGGATTTGTAACGAGTTGCATTGACATACTACACTAGTTGGAGCTGAGAAAAGATGCTACGCTGGGTTCTGAGCGAGAGAATGTAAGCAGCAAAGGTGAATTATGAAATCTGTTGATTTTGCGTACAATTTCCTCACCCTGCTCTAGAAAATGCCGTGGACCAGAAGGATTGCGAGGGCCTTCTTTTCAATCTGATTTGTGCCCTTCAGAACTATTGCCCAACGGATATTATCGGGAGAGGGGTTTCGAGTTGTGCAAGAACGGGAAGATGCTTTCGCTAGTTTGTGCCGCTGTGTGTATTGTTTCTGCGAGTGCTTGATTGTTGGCAGATTTGGGAGCGCACCGCACCACCTGCAATCTCGTCGTTTGACTCCTCCAAGGTCTCGCCTTTCCTTACGGACTCAAGAGCCCGAGTGAGTATATATTCCGCGAAGGCCCGAGTGTTTGGCAAATTTCGGTGAACAGCGGAGTGTTCACCGAAATTTCTAGTTATTCGACTTCTCCGAGGTCTCGCCTGGCTGTGTGGACTCGAGAGTCCGAGTGTTGATTCGGTTGGGCAAATTGACGTGAATCAACCAAGCTTACACATCTGCAGTAACGAACTCACTTGGATCGGGAGAAGACCTGAGAATTTGAAAGAACTGGATTCACAGTTCGACAACTGTACATTCATCATGTCATTTTGTCTCCGCATTCGTATTTGAATCTAGACGCATGGGAGCAAGAATCGAATGACGTATGACATTCCTGACCGTGGAGAAATTGATTCTCCAAAAGCAAGCAAATAAACCCCAACTTTCTCGCACTATAACCTGAGCATGTTTTGACTACTCGCATAGCAAAAGTCTGCGATGTGATTTTAATTTCTGACTAAGTATCTCGACTTTTTTCGTCCAAACTCATCTGTGTACGAGATTCCAATTAAGAGTGGAGTGATCAGTGAATACGAACTGTGGTGAAGTCAATAGCAATACACATGGCCATGTGCAAACATGTTCATATCAGTTTGCCACCTAAATTACATAACTTTGTTGTCACCAGGAAAATATATTTAGGTTACTTGCGGTACAAAATGTCTAGTAGAACTTTTTCATGTTAGAATTGTTCTATAAGCAAAATTTATTTTGATTTAATGATTAGTTCTAATCTAAAAAAGTCTACGAAATAAATATTCTTCCCAAAGCAAAACTGAAGAATGAAATTCCACAATACTAGTTTTAGGAAAAAACATTGAAATTACATCACAATATTCCATCATGGAACATGTGTATGGAAAGCTATGACTCAAAGCACTATACTATCACATGTAACACATCTTTCTTAGAGTTACACTGTAGACCATGTGAATCTAGCATACATTACACACATACATACAATGCCGAATACATGTACATCGATGCATACAATTTACACACGAGTATGTGGTTCACCCTTCTGGTCTATGTTCACGATAAAAATATGCAACGGGGATTTATAGATTATTAACAGGGGTATAAGTACCCCAGTTGTAACAGACTTCAGCCAATTGAAAGTCGAGGGTTACTTCAAACATGGAGTTAACCGCAACACTTGTGTGCAAACGGAGTCTTGCACACAAGTGTTGCGCTGGTCCTAAATAAAGCTTTTTGCTTGTGTGATTAGCAGAGGGATTGGGGGGGTGAGTGACAGACAAAGTGAAGACTCAAGCGGACTATGATTACAATACTGGATTTGTGAGAGCATTATGAGAGGATCGCATTGCCGTTACACAACTCATCTCGACCTCTAAGCAGGAGGTGGATTGAAGTTTTCAGAATTTGTTTTCAAATCATACTGACAGGAACGTGACTCTCACCTTTGGCTCGACTGGCCTGGACTGACATCGCCTTTCTTCGATCATGCAACCATGAATCTTCGATCCAGTTTCACGCAAGCAAAAAAACGGTTTATTTCACGCTTTTTATTTCACTCCGCCTTGGTGGTGGAGTGGAGACTGAATTCTACATACATACTACATCCCAATCTACCGATGTTCAGCGTTTGGATTAGTCGAGGATTTAAAGTTGGAGCTCAATTGGGCTAATACTTTGGAACTATGCGCTTGGACACAAAGCCGAGACAAATCAAAGACTGAAGATAGAATCTTGTTTGATTTCGGAACAACAAAGAATTTGTAATTCCATATTCTTATTTCAATACATGTATGTTGTGAATTACTTTATTATAAAATAAAAGGAGAGAGCTTTGTTATTACTCAATTTCTGTTAATTGCTCTCATACTACAAATCATGGAAAATCAATTTGTTTTAATGTGAACACAAAAGATTGAATCACTTGATAGTTCTATCTTTCTTGTTATCAACCTTTCATCTGACCTTAATAATGACGACATAATCTTGATCTAAACATTCATTCATTATGAAATAATAACCCTCTCATCAATCACATATCCCACTTCTTAAGTAATTTATATAATTTTTTGTAGTTTGAGGTATAATTAGTATAAACTGAAGTATGATTAGCCGCTTCCTATAATAGATGATATTTTTAAAATAAATATTATGTAATATATGATTTTTAAATTATGCATAAAATTATACAATAATTTAAAATATCTTAATTTTTCATTAAAATTTATAATTTTAGAAAATCAAAA